ATATATATATATATATAGATCTAACACCTAAGTATTGATTTTTATAATAATATCACCCACAACTATTTTTCACATCAAAAGGAGCGTCGAGGAAGATTCACCGTGTATCACACGGTAGCGTAGTTGCATTCAGACTGTTATTCGAACATGCGGTACGTCACATGTAATATTTTCTCCATTAAATGTTATGATACCTCAGCAAAAAGTTATTTTAATCATGCTCGAATCTCATAGCATTTTGAGCAAGAAGCAATTACAAATAAGATTTTATGATCATTCAAACTTCGATTTCATCGAACCTATAATAGAGTTGAGTGTATCGACATGGCAAGCTCAACAATGCTAAACTTTGTCCAACCTAGATCCTAGATCCAAGCAAGCCCATATCAAGTCATTTAAGCGTAATTTGAGGTTTTTGATGGTCAGTTGAATGGTCAAATGAATTCAAATATGACAATCTTATGGTCAAATCAAACGTCTAGACGAATCCAACAAGCTCAAGATTACTCATTTTTGACATCTTTAAGACACTTAAATATTTATAAAATATCATACTATCAAGAGAATCACTTTGGGTTATCTGATTGAATGGTCCAAATTTATGCAATATGTACGTAGGATGTCACTTCTAAAATCTATAAATAAATTCTCTCTTTTCATGAGGGAGGGCCTGCACCTGGAAGATAAAACTAATTAGCACTAAGCTCGCGAGGGTTCCTGAGTTCCACCACCATTGAACCGTCGCCAACAACTGCTACCACCCTGGATCATTGTCATTGTTTATAGCCACCGTCAGACCACCACTGCCTAAACACCTACGTCAAACTACCACTGTCGTCAGACCACAACTACTTAACCACCTTCGTCGAGCCATCGCCACTGCCAGATCACTGTTGCTCGACCACTGTCATCTGGTTTCCACCACTGTCGGACTACCAGACCACCACCGTCTAACTGCCACTGCCTGATCATTGTCGTATGACCGCCGCCGTCACCGGACTCCCCACTGCTCGACCACCGCCGTCTGATTGACGCCACCACAGAACCACCGTTGCTCGCCCCGCCGCCATCACCGGACTCCCCACTGCTCGACCACCGCCGTTTGATTGACGCCACCACAGAACCACCGTTGCTCGCCCACAACCATCAAGTCGTCATCATCATCAATCCACCATTGGCCAACCACTGTCATTTGGCCACTACAACCACCGACACTACCAAACCATAATGACTACCACAGGACCACTACAGCTTGTCCGCCGCAGCCTCTAGACCACAATCGCCTAGCTCCACCACTGTTGACATTGGACCACCATTGTCGTCGTCAGACTATCGTTGTCGGTGTTGGACTACCAGTGCCGCCACAGGAGTTTCTCTGTCGTCACAGGGGTACCGTTGTCACAGCTAGACAACTTCCGTCGCCATTGGACTATCGCCAGAATATCACTGTTGCCTCCACTGGACCGTTGTTTTTGGACCATTGTTGTCGCTACTGCCGTTAGTGACATCAAACTTTCTAGCACTCAACCTCTATCGTCGGCTTTTCTTCACTGCACATGGGTCACCACCACTTGCTCAACGTTTTCTATCACTTTCACAGTGAAAATCACATTTCACGAGGGCAATATTGCATCCCACCATTAAAAGCCATGTCAAGTTTTGTAACTTATATCAGCATAGTAGAATCACTCAAACAAGCTAGACCGCTTGGTTTTTGTCCCACGCTAATATAACATTCTACCGCGCCGTGAATTTATAAGCACAGAATAAGTACCACTATTTTTAACTTTAAAAAAAATGAAATACACATTTTCATGAATAGGCGAGTTCACATGTATGTGGTAATGGAAGTTTAGGTGTTAGACATGACATTCATAAGAATTGAGTGGTAGTATCTTATAATTTACGTTTTGCTTTTTGTGGCATTTAAATGCGGACCATCTAAGTACTATGTAATTATAAATTTGTCGCTCCAAACTTTATTGTTTTATGTTTATATCAATCAAATCTTTCATATCGCATAAAAAATATCATCATTATAATTTTTAAAAACTAAAATACACGCGCTCATCATGCATAGGTATGGTGATTTGTATATAAAAATTAAAATTTATGTTTTAGATATGTAATTACTAGAAATTGAGTGATATGTATATTAATTTTCTTTATTTTTCAGGATATATAAAAATAAAATTATAATTTAACAAAAGATCAAATCATAAGAAGACAATTTTTTTAAAAAATTAGCTTAAGCATGTGGGGACATAATTACAGAAAGAGCATTGTATAGAAAATGCCCTCTCCAAGGTTGAGTTTCTACCAACTCAAATTCTATTAAAATC